AGACAGACAGACAGACAGACAGACAGACAGACAGACAGACAGAGAGTCAGACAGAACCAACGAAAAGGGAAAAGAAAAGTAAGGAAGAAAGAAGGGAAAGAAGAGAGGGAAGAAGTGGTGTTCTAGCTTTTTTAAAAAGGCAAATAGAAGGATGTCTTCCTTCTCATCTTAGAAAAGTGCAATTCTATTATCTTTGTCAGGAAAAACTTTAAAGAAATTTCATCTATTTGAAAGCTGTCATAAAGATGGATAGATTTGCATTTTATTTATCTATTGTTGCAGAACAAAACACACCCCAAATGTAGCAGTTTAGCAGTATTGTTACTTGTCTTCATTCTGTGGGATAAGTTACTGTAGGTTATGTATTCTTCTACTGCAAGTTGTTTGTGGGGGTTTGTTGCTCATGCAGCTACAGTCAAGTGGATACAAAATGTCTTTAATTCAGCATTTTGACACCTTAGTGGGAATGGCTTTAGAGACAGACTAACTGGAATCAGGGTAAAATTAGAGCACTCCTACATTCAGATTTTTAAATAAAGTTTTATTATCGTACTAGTTAGATTCCTTGCATGTTATGTCAGCATATTAAAGATCATAGGATCCAAAGATTTTCTTCCAGACCAGTCATGGCATGACTTCTGCTGTATAATATTGATTAAAATCAGAATTAGGGTGAAGCAGACTCAGTGTGATAGGGAGTCATGTTTCATTTGGAGCCATTTTTGAAGATTCGCATAGTTTTCGTACTCTCAAGTATTGCTCCGAGATGGCTCAGTGGTCTATTTCCTAGACTCCCTCATTTCCTCTTCTGATCATTGACTAATTCTTAAAATGGAATAGGAGTAGATATGATGTACACCACAAAGGAGCCAAGACATTTGAAAACTGTGTGTTTTTCATAAGCTGTTTGAGATATAATTGATATATAAAATTTCACACTTAATGTATCTGTTTTTATGAATTTGTATTTTAAGCATGGATCTGAGTCCAGAGGACATCCATTGAAATCTCCGGGTTCTTGTGACTTGTAACAAAGAAGTTTTCAGGATCACATAGATAATTATAGAAATAGAGACTATATATTAAGAAAGAACAAGGCACTCCCAAGAATGTTAGTGGCAAAAGATCAGGGGAAGGTTAGATGCTCTGTGATCTCCAACTATGGTCGAAAATCTCCATGAGTGCTTTTAGATAGCATCCCCCCTCTTTGGCATTTATAAATCCTGCATGCTCAGTTTAGTTACACATAACCAGCAGTGGTAAGTAATGGATGTGTTTGGGAATTCCAATCTTCCTTTTTACTTTCATATTTAAAAATTTTGATGCTTCTTTGTCTACCCTCTATTTTTCTGACATGTTTGAGCACGTGTAAACACTAATGACACCATTACCATAATCAAGGTACTTAAACAAATCCATCTACTGATATCAGCATATCTCAGGGTTTGGTAGGCACCCCAGAAGGTTTCCAATTTCCTGTGTCTTGGAACAAGGGACACATACAGATAGTAGCAGTACCAGAAACCACTTATTAGAAGAAAACACACTAGGGAAATGTCTGGAGATCTACAAAGATGACACCAACTAGCAATCTAAGCAACAGAGGAGAGGCTACCTTAAATGTCCTCACCTAATAATGAGATTGATGACTGACTTATACGCCATCCTAAAGCCTTCATCCAGCAGCTGGGGGAAGTAGAAGCAGACAGCCACAGCTAAACACTGAACTGAACTGGAATCCAGTTGCAGAGAAGGAGGAATGATGAGCAAAGGGGTCCAGACCAGGCTGGTGAAATCCACCGAAAAAGCTGTCCTGAACAAGGGGGAGCTCTTGGTCCCCAGACTGATAGCTGGATACCAGCATGGGACTGATCCAAACCCCAGGAACGTGGATGTCAATGAGGAGATCTTGGAAATCTATGGGACCTCCTGTAGTAGATCAGTAGTTATCCCTAGCATAGGTGTGGACTTTGGGAGCCTATTCCACATAGAGGGATACTCCCTGATCCAAGACACATGGGGGTGGGTCTGGGGAGCAGAAAAGATATGTGATAGGTAGGGCTTTAGTTGGGGGGAGGATGGTAGGGGAGGAGTGGAGGGAGAGGGAAGTGTGATTGACATGTAAAACAATCTAATTTCTAATTCAAATAAAAAAAGAAAACACACATCCCAATGAGAATAAAAGTTGGAGCAGAGAAATAGTTTAGAGTACAAAGAATTTTTGGGTCATTTTCATAGCCTGGGATTTCTGAAATATCCTCACATTTAATTATGTATACAATTTCATGTATCACGTGTCTCATTAGCATTTAAAATTTCCACTTGGTGCTGGAGGACGGTGGTGGAAGCTTATAGGATGGACCTTCTCCCCATAATTAGCCTTGGACTCCACCTCCTGTTTCCCTGTTAACACATTTGTTTTTTAATAAATTGAAAAAAATCTTACAATGTGTCCCTCCTTAATATTTGAAATATTAAAAAAACAGGGAGGAGTTTAGAGGTAGTTGGTCTTTCTTCAAGCCTATTTCAAGGCAAAGATATTTACTCCTGGAAAGTATGAAGAATTTTATAGATTTATTTTTATTTAATTTTAAAAATCTACTGTGTTGTTTGATTTTTGCCAGAATATTGGGATTTAAGCTATATTTCTGTCCCTGGATAACAACATAACATTATAAAGTTGCCAAAAGATTAGAATATCACAAAACATCCTATTGTCTATTCCCTTAAGAATTAATCCAAATGGGCCTGTCAATCACCTGGACAAGAAAACACCGCTCAAAGAGCCATAACTGAAAGAAACATGATATACATGAAGACCAGCTAAGGGTATGAAGGAATAAGTATGCCTTTAATGATACATACACAGAGTAACCTATCTGTCCATGACTAAAGCTCCCCACTTTCTAACTCAGGAAATATAACTGCTTCTTTTCCTCTTTCTATTTCCCTTTTTCAGATAATAGCTAAAATGTTAAACTCTCTCTCTGTGTGTACCACCCTGGGCATTCTTATTCCTTTTATGAAGATCCCCTCTCTCTAATAAGTTGCTCCCAGGTTTCCATAGGAAAATCTGCCTAATTCTTTGACTTCTAACTTAGAAAACCCATTTTCCTCATCTCCTCCTCCCTCCTGACAGGTACTAAGATCTCCAGCTTGTCTGCCTTGTTTTTTCTGTTAATCTCTCGCAAAATTGTTGAGTTGCCCCAAGAGTCTGTTTTGAAATTCTTTTGTTTATGAGAATGAACCTACAAGAATGGACCCTGTGTTCCATGGTGCATTTGTAGGAAAATTCAACATAGTTAAAGGCATAGATGTAGAAAAATGGAACATTATTTCCAGGAACTGGAGAAAAGTGAATTACTGCCCAATTGGTATATGCATCAGCTATACAAGAATAACTGAATTCTGAATATCTGCTGCATAACATAGCACATTATCAGACACAATTAAATATACTTATTTCATTTGAGTATTTCAGACGATATTAAAACATGGGCATATAGTACATTACTTGTATTCTTAACAGTGATACTGTTATGTTTTTTTTTATGAAATTGCTATCAAATATTGAAAACTTTGTAAATGAGAATACCTTCATTCTAAGAGAAGTAAAATGTAGATGTCATCATGGATGCATTAGTATTTATTATTAATGTATTCCAGAGTCGAAGCAACTTTACAGAGACTGTGCAGCTTTTAAAATAATAAGGCTAACCACATTGCAGGAACGCATTATACATGTAATAAAAATTGAATTTACTTTAGTGAGCTTTTTTCATGCCTCCCTTTAAAAATTATTCCAGAAGAAAAATTATTTGATTGATTTCTGTCATTAAAAAGGTAATAAATTTGAGGAATTTGGATCATGCTTCCTAATATTGTTTGTAGTGTTTGGCACTTTTTTTTAATCACAAAAGAATAATTGCATCTTAGGTCTGCGAATATGTGACCTAGTCCAATAGATAATTTATGTGTAATGTGTCAAATGTGGTTATATATATGAAAAAGTTTAGTGTGATTTAATAGTCCATGTAAGATTTGATAACAGTTATCTGTAGGGGAAAGCGAGCACTTCTTTACTTTTTGATGTAGTGGTTAAATATTCAGAATTTGGTAGGTACTGAATAAATATTTGTTAAGTAAAAGAAATGTTAAAGGATGTAATGAAAATTGAAAGATACTGTATTTACTGTCACATGGCACAAATGACATGCTTGGTGACCTTGGAGTCATTAATTATCTAAGGTTTAGGTCTCTTTCAAGATAAAAGAGGGAACTAAAAATACTTCCTTCACAGAGTTGTGCTATACACAGAAGCATTGAAATGTATAGCACCATGTATGGAAAAAGTAGTGATTCTATACAAATTAATTGTAACTGTTACTTTTGTTGCTACTATAAGCATTGTATCTGTGATGATTAAGAACTGGTATGTATTTTAGTTTTGTAGGATGGAATCTGTTGAAGTGCTCGGCTATGCTGCAGTAATGAATTAGCTCTTAAATCTAATGCAAGTTGGAGGAATCTGATGTGCACATGTATACTCTGAGATGACTAAGTAATCACACTGTCCATTATCTGATTCTGCCACTTCAGCTGCATATACTTTATAATGAGATGCTATGGGAAGGAAGGCCTAGAGAATCATGTAAGTGCTTTTTAGTGCCTGAGTCTACAGGTGACAAAACCCACTCTTACTCATATTTCATTTATTTTTAACTAGTTTGCATGTTCTACCTTTAATATAAAGGTAATGAAAAGTGCATTCTTCTCCATAATGTAAGCGTAATGAAAAGGAGGAATGACTGCAGGTATGCTTCATCAATCTTCCCCATGGGATTATTATAGAGTATAAATTTACAGATTACTTAATTGACGATTAATGACTATTAAGTAATGCTTTGCTTAATAACAGGGATATGGCCTGAAAAAATATACCATTTGACAAGGTCACTGTTGTGAAAACATTATAAAAAATTTATATACACAAACTAAGGCAGAAACAGTGTCATCAAGTAAAATAATTTTATGAACCACTGTTGTAAATGTGGTCCATCTTGTTTGAAACATCATTATATTTATAAATAAATTATAAATATGGCTGTATTTATTCCTGTGTGTATTAATTTCTGTTGTAGTTGGTCTCTGAACATTTGAGTGATATTCAGGGTTAAAGCTAAGATTGCAGTATTTTCCAATATGATCAGTAAAGTGTATCTTATTTTTCTTTGTGTTTTTTCTACATTTGTGTTTGTTGGACAATAACAATGAATAAAAACTGTTCAAGGATTGACTTTAAATAGACATTCCTTTCTTTTTATTAATTAATTTTTTCATTTATTTTACATCCCTATCACAGTTTCCCTTCCCTCCTCTCCTCCAATTCCCTCCCCTGCCTCCCCGCTGCCACCCCCATCCATTCCTCCACTGTCTCCCTTCAGAAAGGGGCAGGCCTCCTATGAGCATCAACAAAGCATGGCAACATCAAGTTGAAGCAGGACCAAGCTGCCTCCCCCACCTGTATCAAGGCTGGGAAAGGGTTCCCACAAGTCAGCTCAAGTGCCAGAGACAAACAAACCAAGTTACACTATTGTCACACACATGCAGAGAGCATAGGTAGGTCCCATGCTGGCTTCCTAGCTGTTGGTACAGAGTCCCACCCCCAACCTGCCCAACCCAAACTCCCCTACTCCCATTTCCCCATGCCCCTCACCCTGCCCCCAGATTAACCAGGAGATGTCATCTATTTCTCCTTCCCAGGGAAATCTTTTTGGGCCCACTTGCTACCTGGATTCTCTGGGACTGCAGATTATATCATGATTTTCCATGCTTTATACAATTTAATATCCAGTCATGAGTGAGTACATAGATCCATTGCATAATTTTTGGCTTCTTTTATTCTGCATGGTGACATCCAGTTATGCCAGCACCATTTGTTGAAGATGCTTTCTATTTTCCGTTGCATAATATTTGGCTTCTTTTAAAAGATTAGGTGTACGGGGTTGTGGGTTGTTTTGGATATCCTGGGTACTTTGTTTTTCCATATAAAGTTGAGAATTGTTTTCTAATGTCTGGAAGAATTGTACTGGGATTTTGATGGGGATTGCATCGGATCAGTAGATTGCTTTTGGCAAGATTGCCATTTTTACTATGTTGATCCTACCTATCCAACGGCATGGGAGATCCTTCCATTTTCTTGTATCATCTTTAATTTCTTTCTTTAAAGAGTAAGCCTAGCTTCCACTGGATGGCCCTACACCAATGCACATACTGATAGCACTATTTGGACTTTGTGATTACAAAACTGTACATGGAATTGGGAAAGAGAAAGGGATTATTTTGGGAGCAGTTAGATGTGGGGAATGGGTGTGTGGATTACATCAAAACTGTGTACCTATATAAAATTCTCTAATAAAAATTAAAATATCTGATGGCCAAGGATTTTGAGCACTTTCTTAAGTGTCTGTCAGCCATTTTAGATTCCTCTGTTGAGAATTCTCTATTTAGTTCTGGACCCCGATTTAATTTCATTGTTTGGTGTTTTGGTGGCTAGCTTCTTGAGTTCTTAGTATATTTTGGAAATTAGCCCTCTGTCAGATGTGGGGTTGGTGAAGATCTTTTCTCATTCTGTGGGCTGGCATTTTGTCTTATTGAATGTGTCCTTTGCCTTACAGAAGCTTCTCAGTTTCAGGAGGTCCCACTTATTAATTGTAGATATCAATGTCTGTGCTACTGGTGTAATGTTTAGGAAGCAGTCTCCTGTGCCAATTCATTCGAGGGTATCTCCCACTTTCTCTTCTAGAAGACTCACTGTGGCTAGATTTATCTTTGATCCATTTGCACTTAAGTTTTGTGCATGGTGACAGGTATGGATCTATCTGAAATTTTCTGAATATCCAAATCCAATTGTACCAGCACCATTTGTTGAAGATGCTATCTTTTTTCCATTGTATAGATTTAGCATCTTTGTCAAAAATAAGGTGTTCATAGGTGCGTTGGTTAATATCAGGGTTTTCAATTTGATTCCATTGGTCTATCTGTCTATTTTTGTGCCAATACCAGGCTGTTTTCAGAACTATGGCTCTATAATAGAGCTTGAAGTCAGGGATGGTGATGCCTCCAGAAGTTCCTTTATTGTACAGTTGTTTTGGCTATCATGGGTTTTTTGTTTTTCCATATAAAGTTGAGTATTGTTCTTTCCAGGTCTGTGAAGAATTGTGTTGGGATTTTGATAGGGATTGCGTTGAATCTGTAGATTACTTTTGGCAAGATTGCCATTTTTACTATGTTGATTCTCCCTATCCAAGAGCATGGGAGATCTTTCCATTTTCTTTCTTTAAAGACTCAAAGTTCTTACTGTACAGGTCTTGCTTAAATTTTTGGCTACCAGAGAAGTGCAACTCAATACAACTCTGAGATACCATCTTACACTGACCAGAATGGCTAAAGTGAAAAACACCAATGACAGTCTATGCTGGAGAGGATGTGGAGGAAAAGGAACACTCCTCCATTGCTGGTGGGGGTGCAAACTTGTAAGACCACTTTGGAAATCTGTGTGGAGGTTCCTCAGAAAAATGGGAATCAGTCTACCTCAAGATCCAGCAATTCCTCTCTTGGGTATATACCCAAATAATGCACATTCTTACAATAAGGACATATGTTCACCCATGTTCATAGCAGCATTATTTGTAACATCCAGAACCTAGAAGCAACCTAGATGCCCCTCATCTGAAGAATGAATTGAGAAAATGTGGTACATTTATACAATGGAGTACTACTCAGCAGAAAAAAAGCAATGGAATCTTGAAATTCGCAGGCAAATGGATGGAACTAGAAGAAACCATCCTGAGTGAGGTAACCCACTCACAAAAAGACAAACATGGCATGTATTCACTCATATATGAATTTTAGACATGGAGCCTACAATCTTCTTCTCCAAAGAAACTAGGAAACAAGAAGGACTCTAAGAGAAAAATGCATGGACCCCAGAGAATGGAAAGGGGCCAGATCTCATGAGCTAATTGGGAGCATGAGAGGAGGAAAAGAGGAGGGGAGAAGAGGAAATGGAGGACCAGAAATGTTGAGTTTGGGGAAGAATAGAGGACAGCAGGATGAGAGATACCATAACAGAGGGAGACATTATAGGTCCGAGGAGAGATCTGGCTCTAAGGAGATTTCCAGAGACCTACAAGGATTACGCAAACTGACAATCTAGGCAGTTGTGGAGAGGATAACGAAAATGCCCTTCCCCTATAATGAGACTGATGATTACTTTTTATGCCATTCTAGAGCACTCATCCAGTGGCTGATGGAAGCAGAGGCCGAAC